CAGATGCTTCAACTATGCCCAAACTTTAATCAGCTCACCGCAGGATAGATTAAAGCTTAAGTTTAAAATTTGGTGTTTTTCTCTTCATCCGTTTTTGAGTTGTCCTCAAAATTCTAAATTTGCACTTTTCCTCAAATATCTGGAATTATGTCCATTTTAGAGAAATCATTTATAGAGACAAAATAATAGAGAATGACATTATAAGCAGTTTTTATCATGATTCCTATACTTTCTTTATATGTACACAGAAATGAAAGTAGAAAATGGCCGTGACCATATTTTTTAGGCAATTCATTTGCGGTATATTTAAAAACATATTTTATTTAATAAAAAAAACTTTTATCCATTAAACAGATGGCTGAAGGTCGACCTTACTTACGGATCCTGGACTATTACAAGTAAGACATGGACATTTATGTATCAGGAAAACACGGCTCATTTTTAGAAATAACTTTTACTGTAGAAATGATATAACAATTACCAAAGGAATTGTAACCTAATGTAGAATATGTTAAAAGACAAAGTGGAACTGGAACTGTCATAAGCGCCGTTCAAAAAATTTCAAAATCACAAATTCACAGGGAGGGGGGGCAGACGCCCCTTTTTTCTCTGTTATGGCGGCGCCCATGTATACTGTGTATGTACTTCTCTGAACGGATTTGGGTGAACATCACTCCAGTACCGGCAGTTTTGTGCATTCACGTTTCCATTTAAATAAAGGAAACATTCATTAGTGAAATGAATATTCTTTATCAATTATGGTCATTTTTTTGTTGGTCATTCTTTTATAAAATTTAATCAGCCTATTTCAGTCATCATCCTAAGCTCTTACAAAATTTGAATTTTATACGGATGAAATTTATGAATTTGTAATGGCTTCTGAAGAGGGAGACTTACCTAACTTGAAGCCACTTCAAATCCTACACTTCCTTGAGAAAATAGGATTGGAAGGGTCGCTATAGGCATTGAGACATTTCCTTAGTGCAGTGGCGACAGAAGGGGGCACAATAGATCTTTTAGGTCGCAGTGTATTAACACCCCATTATCAACATAACATAATGGCTTCTGAATCGATTCCAGTGATATTACTTTTCTATGCTTTTAGTTGATTAACAATCTATAATCTTACATTAATAATTAATAACAACTGATTAACATCATGCTCAGTAAATTAATCTAGTAGGCAAGCTTATCATGTTTTGTTATTGATTTTATAAATTATTGAGCTGTTGTATTTTATTCATCCGTGGTATTATCTTTTTAATACAACTTTTGTGATTCCAATGAATAAAAAACTCACATTGAAGCTTCCAATTCTGTATTTTTCCTTCTTTAATAGGAAATATTATTAAAAAATTTAAACAAAATTTAGTATGGAGTGATCCACAAACAATTTTTCTAAAGAAAGGTTTGGAAAAATTCACGAATATCGGAGCGAAAAGGTTTTATTTTTTAAGTTTCAGATTGAATTTCATTTTTCATTTAGAACTGTGCGTACACCGAGAAATTACTTTGCTAGAGGGTATTAAAAATTTATTACCGGTTATTACATTTTATAATACTATATGAGTCAGCTAAACTGATTAATAGCACATATTAAACTTTTGTTCTTGGATCAGTGTTGCTATCACAAGCAAACAAATAAAAAACTTTGCTTATCATTAGTAAATTAATTTGGTAACAGGTATTATACACTTTATTATATTATAATTAACCTGCTTATAACTTCTAAACAGCTGAAGGTAAAACAGTGCAATTTTTTCTAAAATGTTTTATTTTTCCACAAGGTATGTTAAGAACATTGTGTCAAACGGGTTATGTAGGTATAAGGGTTTAAACTTTGACTTTTAAACAACGTTACGTTCATAAATAATAATTTTAATATAAAAACTACTTCTTACCTACAAATCCAAATCAGAATCGAAATCAGAAGATGAACTGTCCCAACCAGTATTTACAATGAGTGGCTCGATCATTTCATCAGTAATATTGTCCAACTTCCACATTTTCTCTTCTTCTTTAATCGTATGATTTACTTTTCCCAGTTTTCAGGCTTCACATTATTTACAGCCTCCAAAAACAACTGTTTAACATCGCTCATTTTAAAAGAATTATTTTTTCTTGAAACTTCTCCCTTTATCTGTGCCCATATCAGTTCAATCGGGTTAACTTCGCAATGATATGGTGTTGATCTAACCACCGTCATCCCACGATTTTTTGCAGTTTCATATTTTTTGAATTTCTCTTTATGAAGGGAACACAAATGATACAGTTCTTTTCTCACAGAACCGGGATGGAACTTAATATTCTTTGAATTTAGCCAATTCTGTAAATCTTTTTTTAACCACTTGGTTGTGGGCATTTTTTCTATAAGTCTCGAGTTATAACTTGCATTATCCATTACTATTATACAGTTCTGAGGAAGAAGATCTATAATTTGTTCAAACCACTCTTTAAAGACATCAGCATTCATGTCCTCATGGTAGTCACCGGTACGAGTAGATTCAAAAGTCAATAAACCACCTTTAACAAAACCGTTTGAACTACCGATGTGTACTATTATTAGTCTGCGCCCCTTTCCTGATGGTCGATTTCAACCAGTAGATAAATTATTTAAAAAAGCCTGTCTTCGACTTGTAACAGTTTCATCTTGCCAAAATTTATTTGGTTTATGTCCCTCGTTGATCCATGTTTCATCTAAATAAAATATATTTCTTCTTTGGTTTCTCATTTCTTTTATAGTCCTTAGGTAATTTCTTCTCCATACTAAAATATCGCTTCTTTCTATTAAAATAGACTTTCTGCAATGCTTTTTCCATAGAAAACCTATTTCTTTTAAAAGTTTCAATAGTGTGCTTCGACTCATTTCAGGGTAATCCTTATCATCTCGAACCGTGGCAAGAACTTTGTCTACTGTCGGAAATTCTTTTCTAAAGAAGAACGCATGCACTTTCCTTCGAAATCTTTCTTTCAAAAGATTTTCTAATTGAAATTTTGGTTTTCCTGGAGCTTTACGTACTGTTTGAAACTCGCCACATTTCTCTTCTTTAACAACTCTGTAAATCGTAGATTTCCCAACACCAAGCGTACTACTAACTAATTCCACTGTGTCATCAACACTTTTACATAAATGTTTGTCTGTAAATGATTTAAAACAATTAAATATTAATGTTTTTTCATTAACTGTTAAAGGACCGATGTTTTGTCGTTTACGCAGCACTTCCAAATTTTCCGTGATCACACTAGAATTCACACTGCACCTTGCAAGTTGCAACTAAACGACATTTAGTAAACTGTCAAGAATACATAACTTGGACCTCCTTACTAAATGGAAAACGTATAATCGCATTTTCGGTGAAATTTGTTGGGAAGGTATTTATCTACTTATAATTCGATTACTGTAAGAAATTCTTGGATTTAAAATAAAACAAAATTGGCAAATAGGTACTTATTGAAAATAGTCTTAAGATACGGCTATGTAATCTTTAATACACAGGGCTTTTGACCTGTCCAAACCTTTTTCTATTGTTCTGTACAGCTTATGTTTATAAAGGACCAACAAAAGACCCAAAACTTGTAATAGCTCAGGTACATTTATTACAATTTTAGGAAATATTTAGATTATTCTGTAAAAATATTTAAAATGACCGTACTAAGTTTTGCATTAGAAATGCTGTTTTATTACTCTCTCATACATAAAAATAGACTATAGGAGGAACTTTAATAGTCATTATTTAACAGGGTAATGATAGATATTGAACAGCCTAATAACATTTAGTTCACAAGAATTAATAATTTAATAACTGTTATTAATGGCTTTAATGATGGATATTTGCAGGTCCTAATACTGTCTATTTAATTATGATTATTAAATAATTTCATAGAGGTCGTTCAAAAATATCTCCTCCAATAATTGGTAATTGTCTCTATCTAACTATATGGATATAGGTTAGTACCCCACTCTTTTTTTGGTTCAAGAAAAAATACCTACATAGATCTGTACGACTGTGGATTAATTTTTCCAAAACTTGGTATAGTTTTTATAGAAAGTAATTACAAAATTTCAACTCTTTTTAATGATTTTATTAATTTTTTTAGAAAAAAATTGAATCAAATTTTCAAAATCTAGTTCCAGAGAAACACATATTTAACACCTATAAATATAATAAACTTTATAAGTGGGGTACTACTAACAGTTTGTATGGATATAATTCGTATTAGTTAGGAAAGACACATACCAAAACAACGACCGGCAATCTTTAATTCTTTAGTAATTTAGAATAATCCATTATTTTAGTTCATTGAAACCCACTGGAACACGATTTACTAGTACCACACTAGTATACTAAATTCCATAGGACTAGAGTTGTTTCTTCATTACATGCTATGGCGCGAATGATTATTGAGCTTGCGAATCTACATCACGTAGAGTATGGAGGGGATAACAATCGTTAAAATTTACTTGTGGTTATCGGACATTTAATTATGGTTATCAAACTGCTATTAAAGAGTTTAATAGGCACTATTAAATCAGTTTAATAGTAATAAGAAAGCTAGTGGGTATTAAAGTTTTTACTAATATGCTATCGGTTATTAAACAATTGACTAATTGCAGCAGTTTCAAATTAATACATTTCCAGCATTATTCGTTTAATTACTGGTATTTACAAAAAATTAAGTAATTTGTTAGTGATAATAAAATTTTTTCTATTGAGCATGTTTAATAGACCTCGTTTTTTCGTTGTAGTTAATCATTAACATATCTAGTATCTTTGTCTTTGTTGGACATGGCATTAAAAGCATTTTTTCTGAATAACTTTTTATAATATTTTCGAGAAAATAGGTATGATCTGACATGTGAACATCAGGATTATGTTACGAATCCGATTAATGTAAACAAATCCCAATGATTAATTGTCCTGTATTATGTTCTCCCATTTTACTGGCCCTTAAGCCAACGTGGATTATTGGTTAAAGAGTAATATAACCTAATTTTCTAGCGACCTCTATAAATTTGAAGATGGTATAGGGGAAAAAATACCAATATTCCTTAGTTTTCAAGTTGTTTTTATAACCTCTCTCATAATAGCCCTTGTTAAAGGATGGGAACTGGCTTTAATATGTTTGACATCTTTACCAGCAACTTTAATCGCCTTAGGAATAGTAGGACTGGTAAGTTTAAAAGTAATATGGTACACTTCGCGTCATATAAAACTGGTACAATTCTGTCAACGAACAATTGTTTTTCAAGCTGTGTAAATTGATCTTTTAAAATGTGTCAATATTAAATTCAAAGAAGTAAAGAGGGTAGAACGATAAGGTACCGTATGCGCATCCATCACGAGTGTAGAAATTATGCGTGATTTAACCTTCCACTCTTACACACGCAAATGACAAGGAGAGGTTGCCCTAAAGCACTGTAAACAAATTCCAGGATTGGGTTTGTTCAGCAATTATGTTTATGTTCAGCTCTGTTTTTTGTTTGTGTTGTGGCTTTTTTGGCGTCATTTCTTTGTTATCTTGCTTATATTTGTGATTTTTTGTGCTTTTATTTCGATTTAGTATTAAATTATACTTGTTAATTATTTTCCGGTGCACTATTTTATAATTGTTGCACAAAATGTCGTTAAACCGTCCCTGAATCTTGTTTACAAAATGTGCAAAACGAAATTGTGCATAGTGTCTAGACTTTTTCATTGGCAGTTATCATTCTACCCCTCTTCACTTCATTGGTTAAATTCCTTTATAGGTTATAATTTTTAGGACAACGTTGCCAGCACAATAAAAATATTAATAGATGTAATGATACAAACAAATTTTGTAAAGCAATAATATGCAATGGAAAAATTAAAAATTTAATGCAACATTAATGCATCTTAATGCAATAAGAGTATCTTAAATTTAAAATGAAAAAGTGTGAAATTTAAATACATATCACAATTCGAAACAGATTAAATAAATAATTAATAGCCTTATTCTTGTTAAAAAAAATTGTGTATAGTTAAACTGTTAATTATTCTACACCAAGAATACAACAGTGTTACTACATAAAGTAAATAATAATTTTATGTACTGTTACCAACCGTTATTGCTGCGCAACCGCATTTGTCTGAGCCACTAAACAAAGGAATAATTCTGACAGTGTTGTCACGTTTTACTAAATGGAAGTCGCATCTTAAATAATAATACTTTTTAACACACTTCCTTTCTTTTAGAAGCGGCATCATTAAATACAAATACAATAATAATTTTAGTTACAAAAAAATAACATTAACAATCTAAATCTAACAAACACTTTAGCTGATGAATTATCTTCAAATATCTCAATGGGTTCACTTATGTTTAATGACAAATCTTTTGCTATACCAATTAAAAATATTACTTCATCTGCTCTGTATGACACGATGATCTCGTAACTACTTTTTTGTTTCTCGTAATATCCACAAAACAGGATTACCTAAAACTAACTAAAATTTTGAGATTTTCAGTCAACTGTGTCACTTGCCCAATCTGCGTCAACATAATAATCAATAGGAATATTACATTAGGAATTAAAATTTACTTTAAAATTTTTTGTAGAATGCAAATACTTTAAAACTCTAACAGCATACCTACCTATAGTGAGTGTTTGAATAGCTATTTTGAAATCCTCGGTAGTTGACAGCATAAGAAATATTTAGACGTGTTCCTTGACTTATATATAACAACGCGCCTATTAGGTTTCTATACTGAATGTTTGGATCACTTATTTCCGCGGAATTTAGTTTTTAGTTTATTTCAATTGGAGTCCAATAATTTTTGTTTTCTATTATATTATATTTTTCAGAAATCAGCTCAATATATTTTGTTTGAATAAAACTCATGAGCTTGTTTTCTCTATCGTTTTCAATATCAATCCCTAAATAATTTTTAAATTTTCCAAAGTCTTTCACGGTCTTTCATTTCAATTTTTTTGTTCAAATTCTCTTTTAGCTGTTGTAGTTTATTTAAATTAGAACTACACAAGACTGAGTCATCCCCATATAAGATAATGTACACCGGATCTTTTTCATCATACTCAGACTTTACAAAATTTTGAGATACCATATAATGATGAAAACAGTCATACCATGTTCTAGGACTTTCACGCAATCCATAAATCCATAAATGCTTTATTTAAACGACATACTTTTGTTTCATCTACTGAAAAAACTTCATGTTTAAAAATATTATCTCTCTTAATTTTATTTATCCATTTTACTTGAATTATTTTCTTTCCTCAGACACCGATTTTAGATCTACCAATTCCCAAGTTTTATTTAAACTATTTACTTCATTTTCTATAGCCTTTTTCCAATGAACCCTTGATTCGACAGCTTCATAATATGTGTTAGGAACAACATTTGAAAAATTTGCATCTCTAATAAAATCTTCATGCCACACTGGTTTCTTTACTTTCCTTTTAGGTCTCTGGTTTAATACCTCCTCATTTACCTCACCAGAATTATCATTCATCACCTCATTTTCCTCACTTAAATTCTCATTCATCACCTCCTCAAAAATAATTTTAGATGCATCATTCGTATTTTCTTGTTTATCACTTTTATTTTTACTTCTGTCACTCTCATTTTCATTTTCTAAATCATTCAGTATCTTTATCGATTTTTCACCTTGTTCAATAAATTTCACATGCCTACTTTCAATTATTTTACTATTTATTAAAATACGGTAGTCCATATCAGAATAGCCTTCTAAAATACCTTTTCCTGATTTTGGTTTTAACTTTAATTTTCGATTTACTTTACTTACCCTAACAAAAACAGTACTGCCATATAATTTTAAATTTAAAACATCTGGTTTTCTACCTGTAAAAATTTCATATGGAGTTTTATTTATATTATGTATAATCGTTCGATAACTTAAATAAGCTGCAGTTTTTACACATTCTGTCCAATATTGTTTTTCTTAATTAAAAACAGTTAATAAACATCGTGCACTATCCATGAGAGTTCTGTTATACCGCTCTGAAACTCCGTTTAGCTCATGTGTGTAACTAAGACTTGGTCTTATCCATATACCTTTTCTTTTTGCAAAATCATGGAAATTTTATTTAAATATTCTGTACCTCGATCACATCCTAATCTCTTTAATATTACTTTTAGTTTGATTTTGTACAAAATTTGTATATTTTTCAAAACAATTAAAAACTTCATCCTTAGACTTTATACAACAGACTATAATCATCAATGAACGTTACAAATTATCTCTCACCATTATAACCTAGTTGAATAATTGGGCCATTGACATCAGTATGTATAGTTTCACAAACATTTTTGATGATAAACAAACTTCACATTTTAAAAATACATTTTTATTAAAATTTGGTTTTTATATAAATTTTGAAAATTTACAAGACTTAATAATCGTTTGTGCCATTTTTCTTTTTTACTTTCAATACTGGAATTATTTGACTCTATGCCAAACATTACATTACCTGTTGATTCATATAATTTTGTTTTTTCTGAGCTATAGCAATTGTTTTGTCTTTTTCATTTATAACTTCTAAATAATTTTCCTGGGCACAAATTTTATTTTTATTATCAGTATATTTCGACATGCTTAATAAGTTTTTTGCTATGTAAGGAGCAAAGTAGCAGTTTTTAATAGAAATTTTGATTTTTTGTTTCCCTACATTAAAATTTACAATTATTGTTCCTATAGCTAGAGCTTTAATTAGATGACCATCACCTACCTCAGCCATACTCAACCTGCGGCCCTCCAAGCTTTTTTTGCGACCCGGAACACTATTATTAAAACTATATGTTTCAGTTTTTATAATCTTGAGCAAAATGCTTGAAAAAATTTATTGATCGCAGCGCTAAATAGGTCACTACTTTTTAAATAAACGTTTGGAATTTTGTGAGGTTACTGCACAAACAAGATAGCTCCACTTTTGGAATTTTCGAGTTTATGTACACTTTCTACAAGTCTATATTCACGATAAACAGATAGCCAATAAAAACTAATTACATATTAATAAATTAACCATATAAACAAACAAGATGGAGTGGCATTTATACCAAAACATAATCATAACATTGTGTTCAATTGCTACCGAAACTAGATAATAGGCATAAAACTTATTTTTGCTAAATATATTTAGTCCAATTCCTAATACTGTTTCGGCCAAAACAAGAAAAAGGCCAGAACCGAGGGGAAACCACTGAGGTCAAAACGTACCTGCATTTTGGAAATCACATAAACTTTTTATGCGATTTTGGTCATTTCACTGAAAATTCACCTTAATTTTATACGATGATCTTTATTTCTCGGTATTTATGGTTTTGAGCAAAGAATTGATTTCGATCATGATTTGAGATGATTTTGGAATTTTCGAGAAAATTTGTAGTGATTTCGAGTGAAAATGTACCAGTATTTTGGGAAGGGTTAACCGCTAGTTATTTTTGTTGAATGGGTTTGTTGAAATACTGCAAAATTGTGCCCAAGCCATTTGTTTTGTCATGACTAGAGCCGTCGCTGTCCTTTCTCGATTGTTCCAAAATCCACGAGATGATTACGTCATCGTTTCTTTCCGCGAAACAGCTAACCTTCAACAACCACTAGATAATAACACGTGATGTCCGAATCTCCGTGGTAAACGAGTGATTGGTCAAGATGTAACGGGTGATTGGTCAAGCTGTAACGAGTGATTGGTCAAGCCGTAACAAGCTAATCTTTATGTGAAAATTTATAAATAAAATTATTAATGGTAACAGGTGAATTTGAATTTTAACCATACTTTCTAATAGACAACGTGTATCAAAAGATTCAGCTATCCAAATACATTCCACCAAAAAAATAGATTTTTCCTACGACCACTTAGGAAAGTGACACATATCACACTATATAGACCTATGGAAAGTGCCCTATATCACACGCGTATGAATAAGAATTTACTTTCCACCCAAGTGAGAATATGCTACTTTCCGCAGTAGCTGTCAGAAAATGTCAAATACATAATTTCTATTTTGATCTATGTAATGTCCATATTAATACTAAAATCGATATGATTGTTAAATTATTGTAAATTAGATCCTAGATATTTATCTTTAACAATTATTTTTAAAATAATTTTAAAATAACTAAGATATATTTGCTTTTTATTCTGGTTAAACACATAAGCGATTAGATCA